TTCCAGAGGCAGGAGGAGCCTGAAGTGGCTGGGTGGCATTCCTAACTTCCAGTTTGATGGAGTCAGTATTGTGTCTCCAGATGGAAGTATTCCTCACATTGGGATTAAGACCTTGAGACCCATGAAGCATAGGATATTAGGAACAGCAAACAAAAAAATTGTGAGTGGTATCACTTCCATTTCCATCCCTTGGTTTCTGAATCTGTGATTTCTGGCTACTGCGGAAACAGCACTACACACTGGATGCTGGTTTAGAGCACTGTGGAAAACACTACCCCAATTGTGGAAGATACTGGCACCTGGCTGGTGCTGTAATTCTATCTTTAGAAGACGATTCCATCGTTTTATCAATCCAGCTGCTTCAGGATGATAAGAAACATGGTAAGACCAGTGAATTCCATGAGCATGGCCCATTCCTTCACTTCATTTGCTGTGAAATGTGTTCCTTGATCCAAGGTGATGCTGTGTGGGATACCATGACAGTGGATAAGGCATTCTGTAAGACCATGGATGGTAGTTGCAGCAGAAGCATTGCATGCAGGAAGGCAAATCCATATCCATAGTGTCTACTGAAGAACAAAATGCTGCTCTTTTCATGTAATTAACCTGCCACCAAATGGCTGGCTGATCTATGCAAGGAATGGTTCTGTAACACAGAACCAGTATAGTAGGTCTCTTCTGCTAGGAGCTTGGGCACTCAGTTGTGGCTGTAGCCAAATCGGTCTTGGTAAGTGAAAATCAATGTTGCTGAACACATGCATAACCTTGTTCTCCCCAGTCATGACTATTTTGTTCATGACCCAATTGGGCAAGGACAGGAGTGGCTGGGGAAAGAGGAGTGGTTTCCACAGAATATGTCATCCTATCCATTGATTGTTAAAATCCTCCTCTGCTGAGGTCACCCTTTGGTGTGCATTTACATGAGACACAAACTCTTCATTTATTTGGCCCATTCAGAAAGGTCCATCCTTGTACCTCGTCCTCATACTTTTTTGGCACCAATTTTTCAATCATGACCATCCAGCCAATCACTGGCCACAGCTCATGAATCAGTATACAAGTGCACAAGTGGCCATAGGTGCAGACTGGGAGAGGAAGGCAATGTGACTGAAGTGGAGGCATTTGGACCACTTCCTAATGCAACTTACTTGTGCCTCCTGGTCCTATATACCACTTGCATTTAATGATGGGGTGCTGCTTTGCATGCCCAATTTTGATCATGTGAGCCAGACAACCACCCAGGCCATGATAGGCATCTGAGGGCACAAGGTGATGTGGTGGCCCAGTAACAAGCCAAAGGCTGTTTTTCAAAACAAGAGTAGTCCAGTTTCTCAGATTATTGACTCTGCAGAGGATGGCAGCAGGGCTTTGCTTCCAAATGCTAAGGGTTTGCACTGTGACTTGCCAATAGGGGCCTGCCAAAGACTCCAAACAGCATCTCTTATCTGCCACTGACACTTCAAATATCATTGGATCAGCTGGATCATACAGTCTACAAAGATCAGATCCAAGAGAAAGGTAATCCAACAGAATGCAGAAACTGTTGGACAATATCATTAATCATGCAAGTAAAATTTTACTGAAAATAGTTTAAAAATGGTTGCAAGAGTACATTGACAGTGAACTGCCAGAAACTCAAGCTGGATTTAGAAGAAGACATGGAACAAGGGATATCACTGCTGATGTCAGATCTATCTTGGCTGAAAGCAAATACTAGAATAAATACTAGAAAGATGTTTACCTGTGTCTTATTGACTATGCACACATATTCAACTGTGTGGATCCTAACAAATTTTGGATAACATTGTGAAGAGTGGGAATTCCAGAACCTTAATTGTGCCATGGGGAACCTGTACATAGAGCAAGAGGCAGTCATTCGAACAGAACAAGAGGATACTGTATATTGAAAATCAGGAAATGTGTGAGCCAGGGTTATATCATTTCACCATACTTACTCAATTTGTATGCTGAGTCAATAACCTGAGAAACTGGACTATGTGAAGATCACAGCAACAGGATTGGAGGAAGACTCATGAACAACCTGTGATATGCAGATGACACAACCTTGCTTGCTGAAAGGGAGGAAGACTTACTGATGAAGATAAAAGACTACAATCTTCAGTACAGATTACACATCAATATGAAGAAAATGAAATTCTTCCCAACTGGACCAGTAAACAACATCATGATAAATGGAGAAAAAATTGATGTTATTAAGGATTTCATTTTACTTGGACTCATAATCAACATCCATGGAAGCAGCAGTCAAGAAATCAAATGGCATATTGCACTGGACAACTATGCTGCAAAAGACCTCTTTAGTGTTAAAGAGCAAAGATTTCATTTTGAAGACTGAGGTGTGCCTGACCCAAGTCATGGTATTTTTTATAGCTTCATTTTGGCGTAGTGCCTAAGGCATTTGACTGCTAACCAGAAGGCTAGCGGTTCAAACCCACCAGCCACTCCTGTGAAGGAAGGTTGGGCAATCTACTGCCTTGGAAACCCAAGGAGGGTTCGCTGTGAATCAGATCCAACTTGATGGCAGTGAGTTTGGTTTTGGTATGCATGAGAAAGCTGGGCAACGAATAAGGAAGACCACAGATCTGATGCATGTGAATTTTGGTACTGGGGAAGAATATTGGAAATACCATGGACTACCAGAATGAACAAATCTGTCTTGGAAGAAATGAAGCTGGAATGCTCCTTAGAAGTAAGGATGGCCAGACGTTGTCTCCCATAGCTTGGTCATGTTATCAGATGGGACTGGTCCCTGGCGAAGGATCCTATGCTTGGTAAAGTAGAGGGTCAGAGAAAAAGAAGGCCCTCAATAAGATGGATTATCACAGTGACTTCAATGATGGCCTCAAGCACAGCAACAATTGTGTCGACGTACAGAACAACAGAATGTTTTGTTCTGTTGTACATAGGGTCGTGGTGAGACACAACTGACTCAACGGCACCTAACAACAAAGTGGATTTTAAAGATGAATATTTTTCTACTTTTTTTTTTTTTTTTGCATTTTTCAGTTATTTTCAAGACTTTATTTTCAATTATTTGTATTTAACACCCCGTCTAATCTTTTGATATATATTTAACATTACCATTTAATACTTATTCTCCAAATACATAGTTATATCCCATTTTCTTTTCTTACAATGTGGCGGAGGCAATACCACATACAAGGCAAATCCTTTTTTTCTAAGAAATATTTCAGTAAAAAATTTTCTGTATTATTTATTCCATGAATTCTGCCTTACTTTATTAAACTCTTCCATTAATTCGTTTGGGGGCATTTCTTTTTATTATAGTTTACTGAACTGAGTAATAATTGTTAATTTGACAAATATTTAAAGACCTACAACATGACAGGCACTAAGTGCTGAATATAGTTTGGTGACAAGAAACAAATTTGCCCCCAACCTTCTTGTTTTTTTATAGAGCGATTTCTACAGAGGAATGCTTTGGTTACATTAATAGGATTTTATATATAGGGGTCTCATCACCACTCCTAAATAGTCTGTGAATTCACTTTTTATTTTCTATCTCATATGAGAATTGCTAACATAACCCACTGCCATTGAGTCAATTTCAACCCACAGTGACCCTATAAATATAACTAAATTTCCTAGAGGTTAGAATTCATTTGGGTATTCATTTGCTAATCTCAAAATTTTGTTAAATCTGTGAGAAAATAATGGATTATATAACTTTTGGCTTTAGAAATTTTAAAATTTATATGCCTTAAAAATTTAAATTAAATTTTTAAATGCCTTAAAAAATGCTCAGAACTCAACAATCTCATTTTCACTAAAGCCAAAAGGTTTTCTTTATAGTATGGATTTTAAATGCAGCATATGAGATTAATACTGATCTAAGGCTTTTTTTTCCCCTTAATTGTAGTCTACTAATTTTTCCTCAGGATTTACCTTCTGAAGTTAAAAAGGACACAGATCTAGATGGTATATTTGTCTATATTCACTAAACACTTAAGGTCCTTGTCTCATAGAAATGGTCTAATAGTAATACTAAAGATGGTCAGTAAGTCATTTAAATCCCCAAGTTCATTTAATCCTTAAAATATGAGTGAGCAAGCATATGCAAATTTAAATTACTTTTCCAAAGATATAAAGGTAGGATGAAATATAAAAGTGATGAAACCAAGATAGGTCAAATAAACTGTAGGACACATTCAACACTTTCCCAGATTTAATTACATTATAAAATTAGTCTCTAGTGTGATTTTGTGGAAGTCCATCAAGACTTAAGTAGTGACAGAAGGTTTTCCTACACATATTAGACTATGTTCTTTATGCAGGATATATTGCATAATGCTTTCAGAATGATTCAAAAGGGATTCACACTACTGTCACATTTTATCCTGATGGTCCATAATTGACTACCAATCAGTAAACACTCTCCAATATTAATAAACATTGCAATGCAAATTCTCTGATGTTGAGTGCATTGGGAATCTGTCACAAGATCTTCTGATATCACTTACACTTGTGGAATTTCCCAGGAGAAGAAATGAACTGACATCAATTAAAGAGTAGTGAATAAAGCCCTTCCAACATTTTTATATTCTTAAGACCTCAAAACAGTGACATAAATTGAGAGCCCTGAGAGAATGCCTTCTCAAAATCTTTATATTCATAGGATTTCTCAAAAGTGTAAATATTCTGGTGTTGAGCAAAGTCTGAGTCATGACTAAAGGTATTCCTATAGTCTCTCCATTCACAGAATTTCTCACTGTTGAGAATTTTCTTTTCAGTACAATATGAGTGATGACTAAAGATATGCCCACTGTCCTTACATTCATAGGGTTCTGTAGTAGTGTGAATTTTCCTATGTCGTGTAAACTGTGAGCCCCATATAAAGGATTTCCCACAGTCTTCACAGACATAAGGTTCCTCACCAGTATGAATTCTCTGATGTCGAGTAAGTTGCGAATCCCAGAGAAAGGCTTTTCCACATTCTTCACATTCATACGGTCTCTTGCCAGTATGCATTTTCTGATGTCGACTGAGTTCTGAACCACGAGAAAAGGTCTTTCCACAATCCTTACATTCACAGTTTCTCTCACCAGTATGACTTTTCTGATGACAATTAAACTCTGAGCTATGAAGAAAGGTCTTTCTGCATTCCTTACATTCAAAGAGTTTCCTCTCACTATGAATTTTCTCATGTTGAGTAAGATATGGGACCCATATAAAAGTCTTCCCACAATTGTTACATTCATAAGGTTTCCTACCAGTATGAATTTGCTGATGTCGAGCAAGGTGTGAACTCCAGAGGTAAGCCTTCCCACATTTCTCACACTTATAGGGTATCCTGCCAAAATGAATATTCTGATGTTGAGCAAGATTTGAACCACGAATAAAAGCTTTTCCACATTCCTTACATTCATGAGCTTTTTCACTAGCATGAATTCGCTGATGTTGAGTTAGGTGTGAGCCACGAGTAAAACCTTTACCACACTCCTTACATTCATAAGGTTTTTCACCAGTATGAATTCTCTGATGTTTAGTAACGTGTGATCGCTGACTAAAGGCCTTCCCACATTCATTACATTCATAGGGTTTCTCACCAGTATGAATTCTCTGATGTCGTGTAAGGTCTGAGCCACAACTAAAGGCCTTTCCACATTCCTTACATTCATAAGATTTCTCACCAGTATGAATTCGCCTATGAACACTAACTTGTGAATGAAATCTAAAGGCCTTTCCACATTCCTTACATTTATAAGGTTTCTCACCAGTATGAATTCTCTGATGACCAGTGAGACTTGAACGCAAACTAAAGGCTTTCCCACATTCTTTACATTCATATGTTTTCTTACATGTGTGAACAGTCTGACACTGAATAGGTTCTGAATCAGGAAGAAAGGTCTTTCCACATTCCTTTTCTTCATGGAGTTTCTCACTAGTATGACTTAACTGATGTTGAGTAAGTTCTAAGTCACAAATAAAGGCATTCTCATGCTCTTTAAATTCATCCAGTTTCTCTCTTGTCTGAAGTCTCTGATATAGGTTAAAAGTTGTGGGCTGGTTGAAAGTGGACACTTTTTCATAGGTGAATATCAATGGCTTAAAACATTCCTCCTGATTTTGCTGTTGTGTCTCAAACTGACCTCTGCCCTCACAATCACCTCCAAAACACAAACTTCCAAGGCTTTGGTTTTTATAAACATCCATTATTTCCCATTGGAGTAATTCTCTGTCAAAAATACCATTTTTTGGTGGTAACTTCTTGGTCTGACATCTGGACTTCATGTCTGAAAGATAAGAAATTAAACACATAGTTTCACTGTTCAAAAAGAAATAAAACTTTCATTATAGATATAGAAGGTAAATCCTAAATTAATATGCACAAAAAGTTATGGCTTAAATAATTCTCAAATGAATCTGGGCAGAATGAAAAAAGGGCAGGAAGTACATAGAAATTTAAAAGAACTCATAAAAATAGAGTTAGGTGACAAATATTATTTTGATTAAATTCATTTGAAGAGTTCAGCAAAAATATGATTGTTGAAGTACCACAATTATCATGGAATAACAATTTAAAGGCTTAGGTATGTTCCACTTACTGTGGATAATTAACACCTAGCACATGTTTGCCATTTAAAAATAATTGTTGAATAAATACACTGTACAACAACAAAAAAAAGGATTTAGAATGAAGTGAAAGATAATATTACAAAGACTGAATGTAAGGAAGGACAAGTGGGATAGTCTAATTAAAAATAACAATATAACATACCTCACTGCTTCATCAGTTCCTTCTCCACTGAAATGACTATATATACTGTTTCCATATCAATCTCTTTAGAGATGAAGGAAACAAAAGGATATCTAGTGTCCTAGTCTGGGTTCTCTACAGAAGCAAAACCAGTGAAGATATATATATATATATATGGAGAGAGAGAGAGAGAGAGAGAAACTTTACTTCAAGGACATAGCTCATGTGATTATGAGGAAATGGCTCATGCAATTGTGGGGGTGGGCAAGTCTCAAGTCCATGGATCAGGCAACAAGCTGAAGATAGCTTCTGGCTCACACAGTTTAGGAGCTGACAAACTCAAAATCTGCAGGTCAAGCAACAGGCCAGAGACTTCTACAAGCTTAAGTCCCAAGGACCAAATATCAGATGAGGAGAAGAGTACTGGGTCAAGAAAGAGGGCAAGCTTTGCCAGAATATCCATTTATATGCTAGCAGCAGGCTACAGTCCCAAGGTAAATCCTCTTTCAATGGACTGGCTGTTCACATCAGATCACAAAATAGAGTGATTACATGGTGTCTGCTAAACCACTGAGAATCATAGTCTAGCCAAGTTGATGCATAGTATTAACTATCACAGTGGAAAGCTTTCTCTCTGTGTGGCTCTGGGAGAAGGTTCTTGTCTCTTTTCATCTTGTTTCTTGGTTGCTGAGAGAATTCACATGGCATAGGATCTCTCTTTCCTCATCTCTGCTTGTTTTCTCTGAGCCTAATGTGCTTATCATATATCTCAAAGATGATTGGTTTAAATCACACCTTACACTGATTTATCCACATAAACACAACAAAGAAAACCTGTTCCCAAAGGGAATTACATCAACAAATATAGGCTTTAGGATTTACAAGACGTATGTTTGTTTTTTTTTTTTTTTGGCCACCCAAAATTCATGTGCTTCCTACATGAAAAATGTATTTCCCTATCACATCATCCCAAAAGTCTTAAATCAACTCCAAGCCCCAAAACTCATCTCTGAATCATCTAAATCAAATATGGGTGAGACCTGAGGTATATTCTATCCAGGGGCACCTGTGAAATCCAGAATAAAGTTATCTGTTTCTAAAGTAGGATGGTGGAACAGGCATAAGGTAGACATTCCCATTACAAATGGAAGAAATTAGAGGGAAAGAAGGGATAATGGGCACAAAGTAGGTCTCAAACCAAGCAGAACAAGTAACATTAGCTCTTAAGTCTTGAAAATAATCCTCTGTTCTTTGGGACCATATAAGCGATGGCCTTGCCCTCCAGACTCTAGATATTAGCTATGCTCTCTGGACTCTGGGCTTCAGCCTCATCTTCCAGGCCAAGTGTGATGGTAACTGTGCTTCCTTGCCTTTGGAAAGGCCCATTCTCCTAGTCCATCTGAGTGAGAACCTCACCCTCCTGGACCCAGGAGGCTCCATCTTCCTGTCTCTTGGATGTGGCATCTCCAAGTCCTCAGCTGTGA